TCTAAATAAGAAGACAAATCCCGCAATGTAGTAGAAAAAAGATTTACGCTAAATGTACGCTACAAATCCTTTCCCAGTTAATGAATAAGTTATAAGGGTGGGATATACAGGTAGTTCCTTCAAAACACTCGCGTTTGTAACCAATCCCCGCCCCATTTCGCCTCAAAGAGGTGTGGAAAAGCGAGAATGTATTATATATGGGAGAAGTGTACGGATGGTTCTTCAAAACAAGAGACGAATTGGAAGGTGGGTTATTTTGCTCAGGACAAATGGCGACGTCAGGTAGTCTCAAAAGTTTATAACTCCTGCCATCAGAAATTTGATTTAAACATTTGACAAGATCCTTTCTTGCTTACAGGATGCTATTTAATAGAGACATTTTGTTGAAGAATTCTGTTCTATAAAAAGACACCTCTCTAAGACACTTTTTCTGCAAGAGCAGTTTCTTTTTAGAAACAACTTTTTTTGTTCCACTAGCTGATTAATTGATTAGAAAAGATACTAGTAAACGAAACAGAAAAAATATTAACAGTTCTTACATTTGCGTTTGGACGTGTTTTGCAAAAATCCATCCTTTGGAACCACTTTTGATTAATACGACCCGATCGCCGGCTTGCAAACTCAGTTGACTTGCAGTTTGACCACGGAAGTCATGTATGCACACCAACAATCGACCGTTATCAGAATTGTTGAATACTGGCGGTATCATGACTGTTGGCACAGCATTGATGTTATTTTGGATCATTACGCCTGTAATGTAATAAAACGGGTAGTACAGTGATACGTTTAAAAATTTACTTGTTTCTTTGAGGCATTTTCTTCCTTTGGTAGTCTTCTGCTGCAGTAATGTTGTTTCTTCATGCGATGGCTCAATAGCTATATAATTTTATCTGAGGTAAAATTATAAGACTAGCAACAGTACCATCTGTTTCGTCCAGTGGCCTTTTTTTTTCCAGCCTCCTGGATTCGACTCTGCCAATTCGATGGTCATCTTGCTGAGTGCTACGAACTGCCGGAACGGGCCGTTGTCCTGCCTGTCTTACAGGTGGCACCTCATGCTCTTCAGCTTTTAACCAGGATCCTAGAACTTATGGGTTATCTTTCTTAAGGTAGTTTTCTGATTTGGCTGATAGTTTTACCCGTTAAGAGTTTGCTGCTTGTTCTTTGCTGATTATGTGCTCTGCAGACATGGGCAATAAATGACGGTAGAAAATCGAAATTTCTATAGTCTCTGGAAAATTAAGTTGCACTTACGTCTGTCTAAATTTAGGTATTTCCCTTCCGCTGCATCTGGTTTTTTGTAATCGTCATAAGGTAAGTGAGAGTCATCCATTCTGTGGCTATCACTACGGGCAACTCGCCTGTAACTGTCTTCGTCGCGCTGGAAAAACGGATGACAGATGTAAAACTGGTGGAAAAACAATTGTCACTTTAAATTCATGAAAGATAGCAGTAGCTTTCCTATTTTCGTTATACATTTGAAAAAGCATATAATTTTTTTCCAAATTAAGCAACATATAGAACTTATTATGCACTGGTTGACAGCGTTATGTACGTTATGAAACTGGTTTTAGAAAAATTAGTGGCAGTTTTTACATGGAACTGTCTCATTTGCGTAGCTGGTGGATCGTCAAATCCTTGCTGTCGGCGATCTGCCGGTTGTCCTCTGATGAAATTGACAAAAGTATCGTTATCTTCTTTTGACATCAGACTTCCCAAACTCTAAAGATTCAGCTTTTAATACAACGGAATCGCCAGATTTCTGACAAAGGGTAATCCTTTAAAAAAAAACAAGAATTTTACTTCGGTAAATGACGCTGCAGCATTGCGAACATTTGGTCTGTCGTCTTGATCTGTCATCTAAATTCAAAAAAATTTGATGTGCTCATCGAAAATAGACTACCAAGAAGGCCCTCAACTTATCTTTAGCTTTATAAAAGGCTTATTAAAAGGCTTATTCAACGCCGCAACAGTAATGAAATGCTTTTTTATTGCAGAACACATGGACATACATATGGACAATCTTCGGGTAGGTGGATATGGCGGAAAATTTTTATCAATGAGTTATATAAAAAACGACTAAAAATGGAAAGGGCAGCTTTTAAAAGTACGTAGAGATCTATCTCAAAGCCATGAGGTCAATTAATGTTTGAGTTTTTTGATTGATAGGTTTGGTTGATTGCCTTATGACAGCTTTAACTATGAATAAATGCGAGCTCGCAAATTGGTATACCAAAACAATATGGCTTTGCTATGTTAACAGTATCCTTCAGGCTTCTATTTTAGCATATCCTCTGCATTGATGATGTTTACGTCAGAAAAACACAACTGGAAACAGAGCTTACGAGGAAATCCACAATTTTCTTTTGAAAAGCAGTTGAGCTAAGTTAAAAGTGTTTACCATACGATCGCACTAGTACCATACTGCGTTTCAGAACTTTAGTAAATTCTCATGTAAATTTACTTGAACAGATAAGGTAGCGAAACTTACTGACACCCCCTCAAAAATATCAGCGTTTCTGCTTCCAGTCGGTCTGGTAAATTCTGCATCCTCTTTGTCTTCTAACGAAGATTGCTTAAAAGGTAAAATAAGTCTTTCTTTTCGTCATTTATAAGCAAAGTGGGATTGGACTGGGTCGCTCGTAATAAATCCAATGGAGGTATTGAAGGTATATCTTTCAATTCGTAATTTTTGGGCATCAGTTATTTGGGCTTATAGTTCTATTTTTTTAAGAAAGGTAAGCAAAAACTGGTCTAAAATTATTGCAGTTTTTCTTCAACAGTAATTTACCGCTAGTTAAAAAACGAAGAAGAAGATACGGAAAGCTTGTTGCTCACATTTGACAAGGCTAAACGGTTTTCAACAATTTCAACGTTGGCAGTGTTTGAGTTTTCGGCACGATTTGCTTCCGGAGCTCTTGCTTGTGGTACTCTTGGCTCTTCCTGAAGGCAGACAAAGTAAACCGATTAAAAATAGTTTTGTTTTTGAGACTCGTTGACTAAAAAAAATCTTTTTTTTGCAGATGTTTCAATTTGAGCGCTGCATAACTCTCAGTTGAAGATGTCAGTGGTCAGGAAACTGCAGTTTTAAAAGCATATTTTGACGTTATTCTTTGACCGCAAAAGTTTATTACTTTCTTTTGTTGCAGACATTAAGCGAAAGAGGAACAGAACTGTCAAGAACCCAATAAAATTAGGGCTTTTAAAGGAAAATTCTATTTCCAAATGTTAGATGTCAACAATTTCTCTATTTTAACTCATGGTTACAATAAACTTTGTATGTATTGGGTGGAGTATTTTGATACCTCAATGGGAGTCTGTCTGTTCGCTTCTCCGAGAAGAGTACTAATGAACCGTAAAAGTTCCACATAACTTTTGAGCCAGTCGCTATGCTTGTCAGCAATGAACTAAAATTGTTTAAAAAGTTGTTAGCTTTTGGTTTTCAATGAACAGTCGTTCTGACCGGCTAATGCATTGAAAAAACATACGAAAACTGTTAGTCATCATATTTCTTTCCTGAATTTAGCTACAATTATACCTGGTATCTTAAACTTTGCTGTTTTAGCATTCTATCCATTTCTTCAGCGTAAAACTTTTCTAGCGCTTCTTCGCCCTGCAAATTAGTCTTTTGCATTTGGTGTACAAAAACAGAGAGAATATCAGTTGACTTACTGAGTAACCGCTTTTTTAGCAAACGCAACCGTTAACTGACGTATTTATTGGCTGAACAGTCTTAGTCAGTTACTGCTTATTTTTCAACTGGCTTAGTAAAAAATTTTATTTATTGGAACACCAGTGGTAGTTAAATAATAGATAGCGAGGAAGAAGTTCAAATTTTACTTGCTGCTTTTTGTTGATAGATTTTTTGATCATCTTTTCTTTAGTTTCATAATCATGGGCCAATCCTTTCAGCTTGTTTTTCTCTTCACGACTATATTCAGTGGTTTTGCTGATCATTTCAGAAAACTGATTAATCTGTAAATTTGTTATTTGCATTTTTATCCTCATCTCGCCTTTGTTTTTTCTCTTTTTAGGAACAGAAACTATTTGAAATTCTACTGTTATCTAATGTAATTTATGGGTACAACGAAAAACAGAATTATTGGGAATCAACTACGAAATTCTGCAAAAAGGAAATAAAAAAGGGAAAAACAGTGGTACAAAAAATCATTCAGATCTTTCTTTTTATGAAGTACTTTTTTATAGAATAAAATTAAAAAATTATTATTCCGAGGATTCCTTCTATAAATTGTTGTACAAATTTTACTCTTTGTTTTTACTTCTTTTAAAGTTAGTAACTGCAACGCTTGAAAAGGGTTGTCCATAATATCAGCTAACTTTTTTTCGTAGTTTTTCTAAAACTAGATCTAAGAAACCACTAAGAACAGTTGTGCTAACAGTCTAACATTTTTTGAATGCTTATCCTGGATTGATTTCATCGTTGTAACAAACGTTTCCAGTTCAGCAGCCTTTCGTTTTCCTTCAGCAAACGCTTTGTCACCGCTTTTTGCCAACGATTCCACAGCTTTGATATACGCATTGCATTGCTTATGAAGATCTAGAAATTAGTATATGATTAATTAGAAGTATCAGTATTAATAAAAATATGATTAATATTATTAAAATTATTGCTATTATTACTATTATTGTTTTTATTACCTTTAATATCATGATATGTACGTTATGTACGTTTATAATACTTTGTTCTGAAAGTCATTTCATTTCAGCAGGAATTTATTGAATTTACATGTCAAATAACTATATGAAAATCTTCAAAGTTAAAACCAAAAATTTAGCAGGTCTTTATCTAAGTTGTTGAGCAAAATTGCCAAAACTTTTATTTCCATTAATTTTTAACAACTGCATCAAATTCATTTATTTCAACTGTTCATTCTTAAGGTTTGAAATAAGAAATTGAAAATTCTTCATAAATTAGCTGAAATAGACCAGTTACAAAAAAAAAAAAAAAAAAAAAAAAAAAAAAAAA